CTAAAAAAATGTTACCAGCCCAAATCAGATTTAACCAGACTAGACAATCCAAAGAAAATTAATCAGTTGTATGGAACATGTCATATAGAAATTTTACCAGACCATCGGCTAGCTGTAAATTTAGATCGTCTGTCAGAAATCTTGGCATATTCTTGCCCGTCTCAGGCAGTCGGACGGGCCTTATTTCATACACTGGTTCAATACGATCGTGGCAATTCCGATTGCCTTATTTTACCCAGATATTTAAGGCAACTCTTGATTATTGCGGTATTGCTATTGACACTGTCAAACATATACTTACCACGAGTAACAAATCTAAATACTATATAAATATGATCTTAAAAATTATTATCCACATGGTGGAACATAAGTCATGTCATATTTTCAGTATGTGCACTAGTTCACATATAACTTCATGTACAGTCGTGGGGCATAAGTATTCATTACTTTCAACATGGCGGACGTTATCAATGTTTTGCCAGAGACGTAGTATTTCACTGAAAAGTACATAGCGGTTTGAAATTCTGTGAGCGATGGGTTGGAGGTCTCGCTTTATCATGAGCCAGATATTTACAATGATGTTGATATCCGGGAATTGTGCTTGCGCATCTGTGGTTTTTACATCGTTATCCGACATGTAGGTAGTTACCAAGCGGGCTCAATGTACCTGGGCATTGGCATCCTGGAAGACAGAGTCTCCCTGTGGAAAATGCCAAGCAATAACCGGCCACAAGTTGTCATCTACTATATCCATGTACTTCTGAGCATTAATGTTTCCTTCCTCAGCAACTAGGGTGCCCATACCACAAATACACAAACGTAGAGATTATTACACTTCATTTTTCATATCTTGCCCGATATCATCCTGAGACACCCATATCTGACAGAGGAATGACGGCCTCGGTCAGATATGGGTGTCTCGGGATGATATCAGGCAAGATATGAAAAACGAAGAGTAATAATCTCTACATATCATTAAAGACAGACGTCGTTTAGAGGGTGAGCAAATAAGGTGGGGGCTGTTGATATAACCGTCCTTATGCAACAAGTAAACACGGTTATTCGTCCCAGTCACTATCTGGCTTTCATCTGAAAAGATGACTTTATTCCATTTTTCATTTACAGTCCAATCCTTTCTCTCCCTGCACCACTTCTTATTCACCTCTCGAACGACCATCTTCCTTTTTGCAACTCGTCTTTTAAATCCTAGTTAGGCTATTTTCCTCCGAATTGTTTTTTTAACAGAATGTCTTTTCCTTACACTCATTGAATTTTGCAGTATTATCTGGTGAAGAGTGCTTTCTTTCACCAAGCATGAAAGTGCAGAATTCTTGTGGTCCCCAAACAGTTTCCTCTGCCCACTTCGATGGCGATTTTCAACAGATCCGGTGGCACGAAACTTTTTCAAAACACTGTTGACTGTTGTCCTGGGAATATTCAGTGTCCTTGCTAACTCAGATATATTTCTCACTTCATTGGATGCATGAATTATCGTTTCTTTGACGGAGTCGCTCTGTTCTGCACATCGTAAAAATTACCGATATCGGCAGATGTAAACAAAAGCAGACGACAAATGACAGCAGTCACATGACTGTCATGTGCCCGGTCAGCTTCCTGCAGCATCTGACACTGACTGGTTACCAACCTACCGAGCGCGCCGCTATAATATCACCTTCGATTTTCGCGATGAGCGTCAGTTTTTGTCAACTGACGAATACTTATGTCCCACGACTGTAGCTGTGCTTGTCACTGATTGATTAATTGAATTGAATTCGACCATGACCTCATTACATCACAAATGGGAACTACTTTTTTCCCTTCATAAGATTTTCCTACGTCTGTTCTGAATTTGTAGAATTGATTCATGTCTAAGCTATCATTGATGTGAGATTACAATGTTCATTCAGCATCGCAACTACAGCAAATGCTGACAAACACTTCCGAAGTGATTGACCGAGTGCTTCAACCACATGTTGAACATCTGGTCGTTGCATCTGCCGCCACTGCTCTCGTGCCTGCTCACCAATCATCAATCGTCTTAATGTGTCTCAATTGAACACGTTTGCACAATCAGAGACATCAATGAACAACACAAATAAATGTCTCTCTTCAGACTTTGTTCATTCCCTTTTTGCAGCCCCTATCCATGGAGATGTGTTCAATATCAGCATTTGTATTCCATCAAATACATCTGGACCTGATTCGCCAGCAAGAAAATGTCATAGAATCAAATGAATTCAATCCTCTGATGATGAGGATTAAATGCCTTTGACAAATTTTATAATAATATCTAGTTTGACTAACTGCTCAAGGGTGCTCAATGACCTCAGATGCTCAGTAGACAGTGGCAATGTTGGATCACTTGTATTGCTAGACTTGAGTGCAGCATTCGACACGATTGATCACAGCATCCTCCTCAAGCTTCTTGAACACCAAATGGGCATCACCGGTTTGGCATTTGGATGGTTTTCATCATATCTGACAGGATGCACTCAGAGAGTCTTGATAAAGCAGTCTTCATCCACAACAGCAGATCTCACATGTGGAGTTCCGCAGGGATCTGTTCTGGGGCCCATCCTCTTCCTCCTTTACATGACATCCTTGACCGACATATCCGACAAGTATGACACTCCTCATCATTCGTTTGCAGACGATACTCAGCTGGTAGACTCTTTTACTCTGAATCAGATTCAACATTCCCTAGAGAAGACAGCTATCTGCACAAAGTCCATCAAATCCTGGATGTCATCTATGATGCTCAAATGGACGATGATAAGACAGAAGCTATGCTTGTCGGCAATAAACATCGTCTGAACAAAATCACGACTGAGAAAATCACAATAGCTGATGCAGAAATTACTCTAGCTCCATCCGTGAAAGATCTTGGAGTGTTCATAGACCAGGACCTATCACTTGATGCTCAGATCAACCATCTTTCAAGAATCTGCTTCTTCGACCTGAGAGCTATCAGTAACATTCGTCATAATTTAACAACAAATGCAGCCCATACTCTCGTCAGGTCTCTCGTTCTATCTAGACTGGACTATTCAAACAGCATTCTGTTTGGACTCAGCTCTGCACACTTGACAAAACTCCAGAAAATCCAAAACGTTGCAGCCCGCATTGTATCCCTAACATCTAAAAGATCTCACATAACCCTGTCCTAAAGTCTCTTCACTGGTTGCCCATCCAAGCCAGAATCGAATTCAAGATCTTGACTATTGTGTTCCAATGTCTACATGACCTATAAGCCTCAGTACCTCTCTGAACTCATCTCAGTGTACACACCACCACGACAGCTGAGATCACACCAACAGTTCCTCCTTACAACACCCCCTGTCAATCTCAAGAACTATGGTCACAGATCATTCAGCTATGCTGCTCCTTCACTGTGGAACAGTCTTCCCATAACCATCAAAACAGCAAAATCTCTTGACTTATTCAAATCTTCATTGAAGACCCATCTTTTCAGGAAATATTACGAATGACTTGTACAATTGCTGCAGTTTTTTAGCTTTACACACGGGGCGCCATGAGCATACACTAGTATGTGGAAACGGCGCCATACAAGTGGACATTATTATTATTATTATTAACTGTTATTGAACGTTCTATTCTCAACAATACATGTCGAGTCCACTTTGACTCGCAACTGAAATGCAGATCAGTAAAAAAAAACGCCTCACCACTGTGCAATTATTTAACAAGGCTGTATTCAGGCATTCATGGTTTATTGTCTGCCTCATGTCTACACACATGGAGGCTGCCATTTGACATGCAAAACCCCGGATGTAACACCCTGTCTACAAACAATCACAAGCATGCATGCGCTCATTGGTCTAAGGGAGATAACTCCACAACCACTTGTTTTGTTATCCTTACCCCTGGTTTTTATTCGACACAAGTTTGATTGGATGATGGTTATTGTGAGTATTTTCTTTGAATGATAGTAGAATAAAATTTGTTTTCGGTTAAAAAGTGTATACATCTAACGCACTACATTTGTTTACCTACATAACGAGCTGACCCAATCTCGTATATATACATATTCCTGCACGCTGAGCCCAAGTGTGAGGTAATCCCTGCCGAGATTTGTGCTGTAAAAACATCCCATTTTTTCTCTGGATAATGAAGAAATTATAACCAGCAAGTGTGCCATATGATTTATACGAAACTCGTGCAAAAGTATGTTTTGCTTTCTCTCTCGCTTTGGCAATATAAAATTTCACACTCGTTTTCTATAAGTCTTATGGCTCACTTGCTTGTGTAATAATCCCTATTTATTTAGGAATTTCATTAGGATTAGAGTGGTATGAGGTATTACAGAACAGCTAACACCACATCCCGCCTAACTCCTGCTGTGTATCATCACATGTAACAATAAATAATACACAAAACAAGCCTTTCAATGTGTATCATATTCACATGTGAAGACGAGTATTGTGTCCAGCAGGGTTTTATGAGACACACACATGTGAAGGACCCATAAAACTAATAACTAGGGGTCCCCAAGGTCGCCATTTTTTTTAATCGAGGTAAAACCATCCAGTAAACTTGTTTCAAACAAATATTTGACATGGTCTTATTTTCAGGTTTTGCTGTCTTGGCAGGTCTGCTGAACACTCACGTCGGGCTGTTCCAAACTATAACTTCAGACTTTTCCGAACACTTATTTCCGGCTTTTCTGAACACTCCATTCCGATATTTGAAACGTGCAGATCGGTCCTGCGCGAGTTTTTTCACGCAACCTTTTTTGGATAAAAGGAATAAATGCAGATTTGCTTACAATTTCAGGAAATGTCATGTTCAGAATATAGAATAAATGCATTTATACTGAAATTTTAAAAATAACAAAGATGACGTACTGTTTATAGTGGTGTATTATTATCTTTATATTAGGGCTGGGATGATACTATGTCACGATACGATACGTATCGCAATATTTTACCTGCGATACCATATGTATCACAATACATACACCTTGAAGAATGACAACAGTATTAAGATTTAAAATTATTTATTTCAAGATATTCATGTACATTGTATAACAATAACACTATTGTAATAAACAAACAAGTAGCTCTATAATTCACCCATGTCACTTTGAGTCAAATTTGTCAAACATACAATGCGATTTGAAACTGTATGCCCTTATTGACTAGATCACTGGAACAATCTTATTGAGCAATTGAATGAATGTCCATGACATGATATGGGCACCAACTCAATACAAAAGCGTGAAACTGCATAATTGTTTGTCAAACAAGTTGAAACATACAAACTTTTATATTCATAAATCATAATGTTGCATTGCTTTCCCAGACGATCTGGCAGATCATATACAGTGAGTAGATGATCTAGATCACTAGAAAATCTTGATTATTCAACCCTCCAACTGCAAACAGTGACAAACACTTAAATCACAAACTAGAAATAAAATATTAACTTCAACATAATTATAATAATCAGTCCTCTTGATACAAGTTTGTCCATATTGTCAAACAATGAACAATAGTCAACATACATTTACATGGTGCATCACTGTATTACCCTGAGTGACTGACTAGATGACTAGCAAAGTCTTAATCATTGTTAATGAATGCAAACATTAACTGCTGGAAATTGAATTAAAAATTAAATATGGTCAAAGATGAGTCAGAAAACAGACATAACTTTTTCAGTCTGTATCTAAATGAGACTAAAAGTCTAAAACTTACAAGAACATCTGAAAAACATCAGAAAATCATCTGCATTTACTGCAAAACTGTAACTCCTCTAATAAGAAAGTTCAATGTACCTGGTATGGCCAAAAGACAATTGGCAAATTCTGACAGGTGTGGGAAATGGTAGCAATTCTCCTTCCACCACAAGAACTGATTAGAATACAAAGGAACACAAGGACTCTGCTAGTACACTTGTACTTCATCCTCAATCTGATCTAATATTTGGACTTATGTCCTTCTTCAATGTTTGTAATGAAAACGTCTCCTATAAGTTCAGTCATTGTTGTTTTTTGCTTCTTTGCTGGTGACCAAAAAGATTCTTCTTTGACTGGAACACTGGACCGTCACATTTGTCTCATTTGGTTGACTGGTTCAGACTTCACCTGGAAATATATAAATTCAAAATCATTAAAACTTAATATTATTCATTCATGACATTCAAGTCAAATTAGTCAATGTTTTTGTTTACTTAACAACTGATTGTGCTGAACACAAATTTACACAATATATATCTAATATTTTTACAAATCTGAATCCCATTTTGACAAATTTGTATGTAATTGGCCTGGACACATTTGATTGTTTATCAGAATATACAGCGAAATACAAACAAAAAGGAGATATTTTTGTTACCGGTGACTTCAATTCAAGAACTTCTGATAAGCCTGACTATATTGAGCTTGAATCGTTATCTGATATAGACTACATTCCATTACCGGAGGATTATGTCCTGGATGACATTGAGGCTGAAGAAAAATATTTCAATAGTATAAACTAGATTTACGAGAGTTTCACAAGACAAAATAGTCAGTGAGAATGAATTAAGATTGCTTAATTATTGTAAGTCAAATCAGCTAAGAATAGTAAACGGCAGACGTGGCAGTGATAAGAATATAGATATGTGTACCTTTTTCAATAAGCATGGCCAGAGCCTTATAGATTATGTAATTACAAGCATTGATATGTTTCCAATTTTATCAGAGTTTACTGTTAGTAGCAATACACAATTTTCAGATCACTGTTACTTAAGTTTTAAGCTAACCAATGTTTCTACTTTAGGAAATAAATTACATAATGAATCTAGCAATTATTATAAATGGAACAGTGGAAAGAAAGATGTATTTTCTGATTTGATGAATTCTAGTCATGTTAGTGGTGAACTAGACAATATTTGTAGAATGTTAGATAAAATTGACATTAGTAAAGCTGAAATAGATAAATGTGTGCATACACTTGTCGATGTAATGCAATATGCAGGGGAGCCGCACTTGGTTGGTCAGCGTTACCTTGCTCATGCTTCTCATGGGGGCAGATGGTTTGATGACGAGTGTCAGAAATCTAGGTCAGACTTCAAGCACGCGGAAGAGGTTTATTTTGATTCGGGTAACTCTGAGGATAGACAACATATGGTTGAACGTCGGAGTAGTTATAGGAAAATCTGTCGTCGAAAGTGTAGAAATCATGATGTACAGGAAGCTAATGGCTTAGTTACGTTGAGTAAAACTGAGCCTAGAAAATTCTGGAATAAAGTTAAAGTGGGTATTCCGAGAGAAGGTTTACCGGAGTTATGTAATTTTGTAGATTACTTCAAGGATTTACTGGATCCAGGTACTACTCCTCCGCTAGGGGATGTTGTGTTTGGAGATATAGAGGAATTGGAGGGTGTGGACATCCAGCGATATGTAGATGAGTTTGATGACGATATAAATGATGGTGAAATAGTTAAGGCAATCCGAAAACTTAAAACATGTAAATCGGCAGGAGTCGATAAAATTATCAACGAGTTTCTGATAGAAGGTGAAAGGGTTTTAGTTCCAGTTTTCAAGAAATTATTTAATGTTATTCTACACACAGGAATGTTTCCTACAGATTGGACGAAAGGCATAATCGTGCCAATACACAAGACAGGCAGCAAGCACTTACCAGATAACTACCAAGGTATCACTTTACTATCAGTTGTTGGTAAATTATTTACAAGTAGTCTTAACTCACGGGTTGCTGCGTGGTGTTCAAATTATTCAATCCTTGTCGAAGAGCAGGCTGGTTTTAGAGGACAATACAGTACTGTGGATTGTATATTTGTTTTACATGGTTTGATTAATCTTTCTCTGAGTAAGGGAATGAAGTTATACGCTAGTTTCATTGATTTTCGAAAGGCTTTCGATTACATAAATAGGCAGGCACTATGGTTTAAGCTTTATTCTGTGGGTCTCAGTTCCAGATTTCTCAGTCTTATCCGTAATATGTATAGGGACGTCAAGTCTTGTGTGAGACTAGCTAATAACACTTACTCTGAATTTTTTGGCTCAAATCTAGGTTTAAGACAGGGAGAAAGCCTATCACCGATATTATTTTCTCTCTATATTAATGATTTAGTTCATGACTTATCAACCTCTCAGGATCTTGGAGTTTATGTTTCGCATGTTAGGATGCTGTTATTGTTGTTTGCCGATGATATGGTACTATTTAGTGAAACTGTCCATGGTCTCCAACAGGGCCTAGACTTGCTACGTGAATATTGCTAACAATGGGGTTTAGAAGTTAATGTAGACAAAACTAAGGTTGTAGTGTTTCGAAAGGGTGGTAAATTGGCTAAGAGAGACGTTTGGAATTATGCAGGTAGTCAATTGGAAATTGTTAATAGCTTTAAATATTTGGGTATAGTTTTCAGAGATGTGTACACAACAGAGTGATATACAGCTAATTAAATGACAATAGAGGCAGCTTTTGTGATGTTCCAGGCACTAAGGAGGTATACAACTTGATCTCTATTAATCTCAGGGGTTAATCTCCTGATGACATTTTATTCAGTCCGCAGTCAGAGGGGTACACAAAGTCCGCAGTCTAGACTACCAGATGTCCAACTTCCATTTTTGTGGAAGCTGCGGTGGCTGAGCGGTCTGGGCGTCTGACTTTGTGTGCTGGCGATTAGGTGCCTGACTCTGAGGGTGTGGGTTCAAATCCCGGATGGGACTCAACCCAAAAAGTACTAGAATCTGTACTTTACTAAGAAAGTGTAATCCCAAATATAACATATGTTACATTTGACCACTTTCTAAAATGGCATTGTGTATTTCATAGCTTTCGGCCGTGGCAGCCGTGCCAATTAACACTTATCAGAGGGGTACAGTTGTCCGACTTCCTTATCATCATTGGTTTTATAACTTCTAATTGATCTGTCGTCATTCATTCGTTGTATATAGATGTACATCTCTGGCTTCCTGTAAATCTAATTATCACTTCATTAGCTGTATTCACATCTCCTTATCCTCATTGTTTGTGTCAACTGGCTTTACTTTATCCCTATTATCATTGTTTTTATACTGCTTTTCATCAGTCCTCTCTGATTCATTGTACATATGTGTACTTTTCTGGCTTCCTGTAAATTCTGGTATATATAGTATGTTTTGTATATAGTATGTCTTTATATCACCTGAAAAAAGGGGCAAGAAGTAGCCCAGAAACGACGTGTTATACAATAAAGAAGAAGTTGTCATCCATATACTCGTCTTATATATGTTACAGGGAATGTGTGAAACCAGGGAATTCACGTAATCCCTGAAAGAGTCAGTGATTTCATGAAATCCCTGTGACCCCCAATATCAACACAACAGACGTGATGGAAATGCTGATGAAACATTTATTAAGACTCGACAAATACAATTACAGTGAAGCCTCGTTAATCCGGACGGTTGCGTTTCTCAGTAAATTCGTCCGGATTGCGAATAGTCCGGACTACTGAATCAAGACCCAAGTTGCTTCCCTAAGAATTACAAAAACGACACGAATCTGGATAAAACAAATAAGCATTTAATGTAAAGCTTAATTCATCACATCAATAATTTTACCGAGTGACATCCGCATGTTGATCCGACGTGTCTGATCACGTCCTTCCTCAGCACAGGTGAGGTAATGTCTAACAAGCGATCTATTGTAGTATGCCTTGAATGTCCGAATTATTCCTGCATCCATCGGTTGAATATGAGACGTGGTATTTGGTCACATTTCGCAAAGTTAGCGAAGCACACTTGCAGCATTGTCGTAAAGCAAAATCACTTTTAGTCCACGTGACCGGATCTGTCTGTCAAAGTACATTAACCAATCACAAAACAGTTCACTTGTCATCCACGCCTTTGTATTGTGGTGTCAATCAAAGTGTAAATGTACAGTATCTTCAGTCGGGAGCTTTTTATGTCTAATTAAAACAACAACCCAGTTGGCCAGTTAATTAAGTAAACATCGCCGGGCGGTGTTGTTACGGTTCGTCAACACGACTTACAGCGTCCGGACTGTGAAGCAATTTACTGTTTATTTTACTGATTGGTGACAGCTACTTACCGTCCGGTTCCGGGAAACCGAATTTCCGGATTATCGAGGCAAATTATATAGGCATAGATTGGTAACAAGCTGAAATCGCCCGGGAGGCGAGACTTCCGGATTATCGGAGTCCGGACTAACGGGGCTTCACTGTATACGATTTCTCCTCCACAATTATTAGGGAACCTCACTATCATAATTATTACCGTCTATTATAAAAATATTCAAACTCAATTACAATACACTGCCCCAAACGTAAACAAACAATATCTAACATATAAATCAGAAAACCTTGTGAAAATACATCCCTCTCTATCCCTATTTGTGCGGCAAAATGTTCATAAACATTTACCTACCTGGTAAATGGTATATTTGTTTCCGTTTAGAATGGGAAATTCGCAAGATAACGGTCAGGCGAAACACAAAATTTGCCACTCATACTCCATGTCCCGTTGCATCGTTCAAAATGACAAAAATTGAACCATGAGAATTCCGCTCTCTGCCACCTTCCCCGCAAGGCTGTCACTGCTATGTTCGTACACTTTGAAAAGCATGGCCACAATCCAGTCCCAAATGATGAGAACAATGTTCCAAGGAATCCCAAGTTTGTTTTTGTTTTGTTTTGTTTGCTTGTTTTTTTTGTTTTTTTATTCCACTTTTTTTGTTGTACAGCAAATCATACATGTGATACATAATATGTCATTTAACATATGCTTCATTGAAAACAAACTATTTATGGCAACACGAGCAATGTCATCTATCGAGAAGCAGTTTCATCAAAAGAGTAACTAGATAAAATGGTTCAAACAACCTGCTTATGGCAACTGGACCAATGCTATACATCGAGAAACAAAGTTTCAACAAAAAAGAGTAATTAAATAGAGTGATTCAAACATACCACTTATGGCAGCTGGACCAATGTCATACATCGATAAACAAAGATTCATTGAAAAGGGTAATTAAATAGAGTGGTTAAGAAGCATACTGTGTATGGCAACTGGACCATACCCGAGAAACAAGGTTTCACGAAAAGGGTAATTGAATAGAGTGGTTAAGAGACAAACTGCTTATGGCAACTGGACCATACATCAATAAACAAAGTTTCATTGATAATAGTAATTGAATAAAGTTGTTCAAAACATACCACTAAAAGCAGATGGACCAATGTCATACATCGATAAACAAAGTTTCATCGAAAAGAATAGTTGAATATAGTGGTCAAACAAACAAGTTATGGCAACTGGACCAAAATTTAACAAATTTGTTGTAATCACAGTTAGAGTAAGCTATGGCTTTTGTTATGTTATAGTAATTTGTTAACTCCCTCTAAATCGAAGCAAAGGAAAGTTTTCCTCGTTTAAGATAAACTTTGAAAATTGTGTTTTTTATTGCAAGACAGATTACGTTTAAAGGGTCATTTCTTTTAGAAGGAAAGCCCAACAGAATTGTTTCTTTAGTAAACTGTATATTGATTTCCCCCTTGCTGTTTACCCAGTTTTGGACTTCAATCCAGATTGAGTTCACAATTTCACAATTCCATAAAACATGACAAATATCTGCTATGAACTTATTACAAGTTGTACAGACAGGAGAGTTTAGGTATCCAATCTTAAACAAATATTTTCCAACTGGAAGGATTCGGTTAATAATTTTATATTGAAACCACCGTAATTGAACACTATCAGTTGATCGAAATGGAATTTCATTAAAGGTCACATGCAACGTAAAACACAACTTTGCAGATTCTGATACCTTTCGGTATGGACTTATCAAAAATGCAAATTCAACTTATAAAGTTGAAAAATAACGCGATGAAAAAAACTGCGCGAAATTGGAGTTCAAATGATTCACTAATTTTCCCCGGACTTTTCGGGGGGAAAACTGGTTTCAACAGCTGGGCTGCGCTCATAGCACGTGCGCAGTGAAATAGGTTCGCGCAACTTGGAAGCGGGCTGCCCGGAGAATACTCGGTGAAGGCTTTGGTGTGAGCTATTTTCCTAATGTTTTGTTGATATCTCACAGGCGCAAGCTTTTTATATGTTATGACAGTAAATAAACTGTTTATATAATTTCATTTGTCTATTTCACCACACGTTCTTCTTACCGAGTCACTTTCTCAGTTCAATACTTAAAAGCAATGTCATTATTTAGCATTGACAGAATTTCTAACTGTGATATAGATATGTCGTTGTCACAGACAAAACTTAATGTCTTGTTTTATTGACACCTGTGTGTCTGCCTGCCTGTCTGCTAATGACAATATTCAATACACAACTGCGATCACTGACCACATGCAATTTGAACTTAACACCAGTCAGGCCATACATCATAAACAAAACGCATTGATTTATGGCCCGAGTTCGGTCTCTGTCACATTATGTAATTACACAGACAGGCAGGTGTGATAGTTGAACACATGACATGTTATGATGTCTGTTGATTGCAAAATGTTATACACAAAAAATGAGCATGTATTTACAAAACCCAACATCTCTATATATACACACACAATGATCCGTGAGGGCATCTGCAAATAAACCAGCCATTACACTTGAGTGCACACCCACCCGCTCTGACTGGGTTCGGTATCCCGGTTGCTTCGTTTCGTGGGAAGTAAACCCAAGTACACAATATTGCACTTTTGATTTGCGATTGTACGCTTATAATTTTGTTTATATGTTTTTTCATAACCAGCAATGTATATTATATGTCATGAATAAGTGATAATTGTGTTTTATTTATGTTTGATTTTTTGGTTGCATGTGACCTTTAATATTCCTCCATTCCATGTCTGTATATTGTTTTACCATATCTTTCTCCCATTGTTGATTGGCTGAAGTCTTCTGGAACTTGGATCCTAATAACACATTATAGTAGTATTTTGAGCCCTTTTGGGTATTCAGGAGCAAACGAATGTTAAATGGTAATAATGGTGCTGTTAATGGTGTAATATCGTCATAATCAAGCTCGTTTAAATATTTATTCAAAGCCTTTTTAACCCCGTAAAATGTTAAATAATTGGAGGAAATATTGTGCTTATTTTGGAAATCTTGGTATGAAAGAGGGTGACCATCCTGATCTATCAAATCATTGATATATTTTACTCCAGCTTCTTCCCATTGTTTAATAAATATGCATTTTTTATCAATCTTAACATTATCATTATACCATATATACTGTGAGTACGCATTTTTTCGTGTTTTCTTATGCTTATTCAGGAATAGAGCCCAGGATGATAAGACATCTCGCCAGAAGGGGTTTCTTATGTTGTTAATGATATTTATCTCTTATATAGATTGCATCCATTTCTAAAATATTACTTGGAATAGTATTTGATTCGCAAAGAAATAATCGATGTATTGTGTTCGAGAAGGTAAATCGTCTAAGACATGAAATCTTTTGAGAAGCAATTACATCCCTTACAAATGGAGTATTGAACCCCCCGTCCGGAATATTGCATATTACCCTGTTCCTTTTAATCTTGTAGGTTTTTTCGCTCCAAATAAATCGAAAGCAATTTGCTTGGAAATTTTGTATTACAGTTTCTGGTGGTGTGGGAACGGTAGAAAATAAGAGATTAAGTTTTGGTAACAATAAGGATTTTAGCACTGTGTTACGTCCAAACGGCGTTAACGTTCTACATTTCCACATTTTCATTGAATTTTCAATTTCTTTAAATTTTTCGTTGTAATTAGCATCTACCATATTTTCAAGATCAATGTCAAATTTTATACCCAGTAACTTAAATGTTTCAGTCCAGTCCATTCTACAGTTCTTCAATAGCTTCATTCGGCTACGTTTTTTGGAACCAATCCAAATCAACTTTGTTTTATTAATGTTAATTTTTAAACCAGAAAACGTGCAAAAAGGTTAATGTGTTCACGACTGCTTGTAAGCACCTTTCAGTACCATCTAACATTAAAGAAGTATCATCTGCGAACTGCGCTAATAAATGTTCAATAGATCCAATCTTTAATCCTCTGATAGATTTATTGCTTTTAAGTAATCTGGTTAATATTTCAGTGCATACTATGAAAATATATGGAGAGATTAGGTCTCCTTGGCGACAACCTCGACTTAGTTTGAAAAAGGGACTAGCAAAACCATTTACTAATACACAAGATTCAGAATTTTTATAGAGCAGTTTTATCCATTTTTGAATGGAAGGGCCGAAATTAAAAAAAGCGAAAATGTTTTGAATAAATCGCCAGTCTAAAGAATCGAAAGCCTTTTCGAAATCAATAGGCATTAACAAGCCTGGAATCTGATAGCTATCCACATATTCCATAACGTCATACACTTGTCTTGTAACCTCTCCCATGTATGTACCCTTTATGAAGCCTTTTTGTTCCTCACTGATAAATGTGGTTAAAGTCGGTTTTATTCTCCCTGCTATAACTGCAGAGGCAAGTTTGTACACAATATTAAGTAATGAAATGGGTCTCCAGTTCTTTAGAAACTTTTTAGGTTTGCCTTCTTTTGGAATACAAGTGATGATACCCTGAACTTGTGTATCTGATAGAGCTCCGTTTCTGTAAGCATAATTTAGCAATTTTATAAGATACACATTTAAATCCCGCCAAAAGAATTTG